TTGTTGGTTTTAATCTCCCCTTTTACTCTCTTTGCCTCCTTGTTTTACATCCTTGCCATGATATTGACTATAATCAATAAAGGGGTGTCTAAGTTCTCTGAAATGATAGCTCAAGTCAATAAATCTCTTGTATTCTCTCCTGTTGACATTGAAATTTCCTATAAAAAGCAAAACCCTTTTCTCAGTTCCCTTAAAGTTCAATGCTTTTGCAGTTCCAGATCGTCCCAGAATGCAAAAGTTTCACATTCTGGGCCAGTTCAATCCCCTGTTACTCTTCATAGTACTCGTGTCTCACGGGTTGCGAGAACTGATGCTCAACGTGTTCTTTTTGATTACTTGCATTGCACTAGGAACTTTGATTTCAATGATGCAGAGCATATTAGCAAGAATTCACCTCATTTTATTGAAAATTTACTCACCAAGATTGATAATGATAAAGACGTTGTGCGGTTGTTGAATAAATTTCTTAGGTATAATCCAATTAATGAGTTTGAGCCGTTCTTTGAGAGTTTAGGTTTGAGGCCGTCTGAGGTTCCTTCGGTTCTTCCACCGCATTTGATGTATCTTGGTGATAATGATATGTTGCTTGAGAACTTTCATGTTTTGTGTAATTATGGAATTCCCCGTAGTAAGATTGGTAGGATGTACAAGGAAGCAAGAGAGATTTTCGGATATAATTATGGGGTGTTGAAATTGAAACTTATGGCTTATGAAAACTTGGGTCTAAGCAAAACCACTGTTGTTAAGCTTGTTAGTTGTTGCCCATCTCTCCTTATTGGTGGTGTTGATAGAGAGTTTGTTAATGTTCTTGGGAGATTAAATAGAGCAGGAATAAAGAATGATTTGATTGGAGGGTACTTGTCTGCTAAAGATTCTTATGATTGGAAAAGACTGATCGACACAATATATTTTCTTGACAAAGTAGGTTATAGTGAGGAGCAGTTCCGTAATCTGTTGAAAACAAATCCTGTGTTAGTGTTTGAAGGTTCTGGGAAGAAAGTTTATTTGTTGTTTGGTCGGTTACTCAAGTTGGGCCTCAAGGTGAATGAGATTTATTCATTGTTCACACAATATCCACAAATCTTGTCAGCCAAGCGTGCGAAGAATCTTTTGCGGGGAATTCATATCATGTTGGGAATTGGAATGGGAGTAGAAGACATTGCGAACATCATATCTACACAAATGGAACTTCTGTGCTCTGCTACTTTAAAAGGACCTGTAACTCTTCGTAGACAATTCAAAGATAAGAAAGATAGTTTATGCCAAATCCTCATGGAAAACCCACTGGAGCTGTTCCATTTGGATTCTAAATCAGAAGTTGAAAGCAGCAAAATGTTATCCTCCCGGGGTCCTACTAACAAATTGGAGAAAACAGCATTCTTGTTGAGATTGGGGTATGTTGAGAACTCAGATGAGATGGCAAGAGCTCTAAAAATGTTTCGAGGTAGAGGAGATCAATTACAAGAGAGGTTTGATTGCCTGGTACAAGCTGGTTTGGACTACAATGTTGTCTCCAGCTTCATCAAACAAGCTCCCATGGTGCTAAACCAGACCAAAGATGTAATTGAAAAGAAGATTGATTGCCTGACAAGATTAGGCTGCTCGGTCAACTCACTGGTGGCATTCCCATCATATTTATGCTACGACATGGACAGGATTAATCTTAGATTTAGAATGTATATTTGGCTGAAGGAAAAAGGTGCAGCGAAACCCAAATTGTCCTTGAGCACTATCCTTGCATGTTCAGATGCACGATTCATAAAATATTTTGTAGATGTCCATCCTGAAGGACCAGCAATGTGGGAAAGTTTAAGGAACATGTCAGCCTCAAGCTAAGGCTAGTTCAACTTTTAAGTTTGTGTACAGTTTATTTTTATTGTTTAGTCAAAGTGATGCCAGCCATTCATTACTACCGATCTAATTGCTGAACATCTTTCTGTTTGCCATACTTTTTAATAATTTTCTTATAAATCATCCATCTCATGTTCTCCGTAGCTCACAATAAGATGGTTCTTGGTGTATTTCAATTTGTCTTGCAGCATATCATCTGTGTTTGCATGTGTGGCCAACCCGAGTTTACCTGCTAATCAAAATGTCTCTTTTTTGAAAAATTCATTAATTTATGGAGGTTATTTGTTGTTTTAATGTTTTAGGATTCTGAGGAATTTCTTCATTCCAGATAATTACAATATGAGTTCTTTTCTCTTCCACTTCATGTTTGTTTCCAACTTTATTTTCCTTTTAATTGCTTGTTCTCCACAACGCTAGGCACTTTACTGATGTCTTATAGCTTGAAAGATAAATTTGCATTTTCCATCTGGGAAATGATGATCATCTAGTTGCAAGGCAGAAAAACAAATAGCTACAGATTTTCTTGCAATAACTGAAGTTTCAGTAGTGATTTTCCAATTGTCATCTATCACAAACAAAAGGACCATGACCGAAGCCTGGGATTTATTCTTTATTAAGTATTTTCTTTTCATCAATCTCTGCTTGACAAGATTTGTGCCAAAATAACAGATGACAAGAAGAACAAAAGGCATGAAAGCATTCAAGGCTACAAATTATTCCACAAATAGATTGCAGCTATCATTTGTATGAGACTTCAAGTTCTTAACCTATGTGACTCTCCATTGCAGAATCTGGATCACATGTTATCCTGCATCTGATCTCTCCGCTGTGCACAAGTCTCGTGTTTGGTTGAATGCACCCAGTGATACATCCGTCTTAGCAATCAAAAGCGTCAGACACCACACCATCGAAATGAGAAACGATCATGCTCGTGATCAACACTGCAACCAAAAATTTCTTCATCATTTTCCTTTTCTGGAAAAATTGTAAGAATTGTGATCCCCATTCCCTCATCCATTTATAGATGTAATTTTAGACTTTCCCGTTAGTTTGGGTTGGAATTACGGAAGTACCATCCCCAATATCCATCCTCCATCTTTGAAGCAGCCGTCCATGTTGAAAGCTTTAGCTGACAAATACCAGGGAGTGAATCAAGGATAAGGGTATCTATACGTTATAAGGTTTTGACTACACATCATAGTAGAGTGCTCCAGACAATATGCAACTGTATCATTGCATGTGGCTGTGTCAGTTCCATCTTGGCGGTGTAACCTGGGTGTGCGAGCCCTATCCATATTTAATGTACAAATGCAATGTTAAATCATATTCTTCTATTTTCTCCATCGAGCACTATCTCCTCCTCATATTCTATAGGTCAACCAGATAGGCACCCATGCATCATTTTTTTCCTATAATTTAAGTTTATTATAAATAATGCAATGATTGTAGAAAAAAATCTAAAACTTAGGGTAAATTTATGAAGCAATTATTTCAAGAAAAAATGATTTATAATTAATTTTTATAGTCTTGAACCCCAAGCTATAGTTAATTTTTGCAGCCTTGAACTGTAAGTTTTCTTTCACCAAATCAAAGAATCTTTGCATTTCCTAGCTTCCAAGATAAGAAAATAAAGGGAGCACGGTATTTCATTTATATATAATTGTTAATTATATAATAATAAATTTGAAATTTTGTACAGAATTACTTGTTACATGTCAAATATGATTTGTCATGATATAATCTAATATAATTATATAAACAATTTCATCGTTAATTTAAAAGAGAGTGCCAATATTTTACATTCCATACAATAATATGTGTTAGTTAGTTTCATTATTTTCTAATATTTTATGAAGATGTTAGTTTTTTCCAAATAAATGGACTAAAAGATTATAAAAATACACTTAAATCAACCATTTCATTATATTATTGACAGGTTTACGTGCACTGATGTTATCAATGGTGACCTAATTAAAAAAGAAGAAGAAGAATTCCTTTTTATTTAAAATTTACTATAAAAAATACCATTTTCTTCTTCCTTTTTTCTTTTTTTTTAATAGTTTTTTCCAAATAAATGGACTAAAAGATTATAAAAATACACTTAAATCAACCATTTCATTATATTATTGACAGGTTTACGTGCACTGATGTTATCAATGGTGACCTAATTAAAAAAGAAGAAGAAGAATTCCTTTTTATTTAAAATTTACTATAAAAAATACCATTTTCTTCTTCCTTTTTTCTTTTTTTTTAAAAAAATCATGTCATGCCTAAATGTAATCTATCCATGTGTGGACATAAGTCCACTACAGGTTTCCATTCAAATCAGACTGAATGATTACCTATCAAATTCAGATAACATTGCCATCTCTGATAGCAACATGATGGTAATTCTCTATGAATGGTATGAATCTGTGGACACAACTCCCCCATTGCAGAACTCAACATTTACAGTTTATTTTCCCAAGACAAGGGACGGAGTTGATAGTTGATGAGCAAAAGTTCGTTTTAAACAAGACACTTTATTCACACTTCTACAACAAAAAAAAAACTCGGTTTCAGTTTTACAAGTCATTGGTTAAATGTAAAGGAAAAAAAAAACACATGGCACAGACCCAAGACACGTTCTCATGATGTAAAAGGAAAATGATTTGCAGCTATACCTAATTTTCTAGCACAAACCCTGTCCCCTTCAAAGAAAGGTAAAAAAGACAAGGGAATAAAGCAGCTCCTTTTGTAGGAGGAGAAATTGCAGTAACCAGTCAATGCCTGATTCCTCTTCTTATCTTGCTATGACTGCATTAGTACAAGATTCTTGCTTCACTCTAGAGTTAGTGGCATCCTACTTTCCAGGAAAGTTATTTACTCAGAAATAGAATATTTTCAATTCAATGGAATATATGGATTCTAAACAAGCATTCAGTGCTGTATTATTATTGAAGGGCCAAGGTTTTGGAATCTTTACTGCTTTTAATGACTGTATAGGCAAACCAATGACAGGCCTGTGGTAGAACAACATGGTTGAAAAGGAAATGATGAAGCAATCGTGTATTCAAACTGAAGTATTAATTTCGGCGGTAATCCATCTTAGAGCAGGCAAGGAAAAGACTTGGCAATACACCAGAACCGGTGATCAGATTTTTCAAATCTAAATAAATCAGTCGCAAATTTCTATAATTCTTGTTTTTTGCAGTAACTGCAGAAAATTTATATGAGCTTTCGAAATAAAAGCTTTAGAAGGCTTAATAATACAGGCATATGAGCTTACAGAGATAGTTCGCTCTTCGGTTAAAATTGTACAGAGAAGCTTATCAAAATCTTTAACTAATATTAAAGCTTAAATCAGAGACAAAGTGGCATGCCCTCATAGTTTCCTGAGCTTGTTACCAACACCATCTTTTAGAGAAGATGAGGATGACGAGGAAGACAAAACAGAGCGGTTAATCACAGCCTTGTCCTTGTTAAATGCCTTCTGAACATCCTCTTTAAGTTCCATGAAACGTGTCCTCTTGATTCTTTGTTCATCTGGAGTGCCCTTTTCAAGGAAAAACAAATCAGGGAGGTCATCCTCCATGAACTTATCAAGCACTTCAGAGCAATTAGGGAAGTATCGTCGGCCCATTTCCACTGTCATCATGACAAACAATTTATATGAGAATAGTTGCAAAGACTGTATAGTTCATACTTTCTAGACCATATGTGATGTTTGCTTAATTGCGAGGACTTCCTAGGGATTCAATAGTTTCAGTTAGCTTCAAAATTTTAGGACTTCTGTGATAATATGTTACAACATGTCCTGAGATTGATTTTCAAACAAAAGGATTTAAAGCTGGCAAGTACCTGTTTTTGACAGGGCTTCCATCCTAGAACGAAGTCTTTTGTTCTGCATTATTGGCGTCTCATTCAGGTCAACCTCCCTCAAATTCCCGCTAGAACCATTTGATGCAGCAAGACCAGCAAATTCTGATGTTGTTGCAGCATGTGCAATGTCCATTGCTAGCTTTGCTTCAGTAGGGAAGAATAATCGTGCAAATGCCACTGTGATGTACACCACAACACTTGATCATACATTTGATTATAAGTCATGATAGAGGACCCGTTTGAATATATCAGGATCATAATTGAACATTAGGCGCTAAAACCATATATAAATAGGATGTCTCCACCTCTGTAAGCGTGAAATAGTAATGAGAAAATGTCTATTTTCATCAAGCCTGCTTGGTAGATCAGGAAACTAAAAATAGATAGAACATAAAATCTCCAATTTGAACAATAGCAGCAGAACAATTAGCAGGACCCAGAACCCAAACGAAGGAACTTAAAGCTCAAATAAAGCAGCAAGAAGGTCAGTGATGATGATATCTAGGTATCTCGACAGAGTATTGAAAACATCATTCCCGCACTTCTCTTTATGAGCAAGAAAGAGATTTCTAGAAAATAACCAAAAACTTCAGCTTTTGGCATATTAATCTTGAAATTTGTGGGAACCAGGCAAGTTAACTGTATTCTGGAACATAATTTTGAAGATTAACCCAAGAAATAAGAAGTCAATTTTAAATTCAATGCGATCCAAAAGCATAATCCAGTCCCATTGAGCATGCATTTGAACTGCATACTGGCTTTAGCAAAAATACAAGGGAGTTGAATCCAAAATTATCATGTGAAGGATAATATACCTCTGTTCTCCAGGTATAACAGCTTCATGTGCAGATCATCAACCATTGTATGGGAAGTGATGGAAGCACTCCCACCCAGTGGATTCCTTCTCATTTCCCTCTCTAAAATATCAATGCATAACCTGTCTTTGTTTGCTTCCTGCCCTTGCTCTGTTTTAGCATGATAGTCTTTTGGCCTTGTCAACCTCCGGCAGAGACTAACAGCACTTTGCCCATCTGATGTCAAGTCCAAAGCAGATGCTCCTTTGGCCAGCAACGAAACTATCAATGATGGCTCTTTCCGCATTGCAGCAATGTGAAGAACTGTGTAACCACGTGAGTTTCTAAGATTGACATTGGCAAGACCAAGGCTAAGCACCTCAGACATAACCTTGAGATCACAGTATGATGCACAATAATGGAGAGCATTAGCGTCATCTAAGGATATATCAGACTCAGTCAGGAGAAGTTTCACAAGTTCAACATCATCTGAGTCTAATGCCATGTGTATCCTCTTGATTCTCTTTTCACGTAGGTGATCCCCAGCCTCTGTGTTGTTTTCATCATCAGAAATAGGTTTGCGGCGGAGCTGTTTAATTTTGTCTGCGACTTCATGGGGAAGCTCTTTCTCTATAGAGATGTTCTCAAGATTAGACACTGCTATTCTATCAACACATTGTGCAATAAGCTGACTTGATTGACAATGGAAGGCAACCACAAGGATTGGGATCACATCCTCCGCAAGAGCTTTCCGAACAAAGTTAAGAAGGCGTCTCTGAAAAAAAATGACGATTTGGATCACTATAATTTTCTCCTGCTTTTTATAGATCCCAAAGGACAGTTTGGGTTATGAATAGAAGGGCCCAAAACCTAATTTTTCTTGGCAAGTTATTCTTGATAATTTTCTCAGCTAATAAAATGGCATTATATAGTTACTGACTGCCAGAATCCAACAAAATAGTAGAGAAAAACAACCATTCCCAAGTTATTCATTAGGCTTGAGCATTGACATCCACAGTCCAGCATAGAAATTAAATGAATTAATATATCAGATCATGCATGCACTGCTTGAAACGAATCATTTGAAATATTCACACCTTGGGTGAAGGTGGCAAAACAGGTTCGATCGCCAATTCTCAAGGTTTATTGACTTTATTAGCAAAAGATTAGCTAGGGTAGACAAATACCACACAACTGTCATGGCAAATTCAATTCCACCACAAGAATCAAACTATAAGCAAATTACAGAATCAGAAAGGCCTAGAAGGCGCCATCACACCTCATCAAGCATGCAAACATCATACATAATGAATTGAAAAACCTGTATCACACTACAGTAAAACAAACTAACCTGGAAAAGTGAAACCAGCTCTGGAACTTGAAATATGGATGATGCATACATCAATTCCACTGCAAAAGTAATCGCAGGTCTACACGCATCATGAGCGCATACATTATCAACACATGTTGAGACTTCCATTGGAGATGGCTTGAGTTTTCCAGTGTACAAATAGCTCAAGAAAATTAGGAAGGCTTCATATCCAACATTTCCATAAGGTAACAACTCACTCATGCAATACTTTGGTTTTCCATCCTTCTCCAGAGACCCCTTTTCTCTCCTAAACAACTCATGGAAAAACTTGCTCCTAGAAGCTAAAATACATCGATGAACACCAACAGCGATACCCTCAACAACAATATCAGCATCACTATATTCACAAGTAGACTCAATCAATAGCTGCTCCAAACTGGAGCTCAGCTTGTTTAAACTAATCACCTCAAGACTAGTTCCTGCCTCGGCAACCGAGGAGTTGGATATATTGTGACTAATTGAGCCATTTGACATATGAGAAGATGAGGTAAAACTCAAAGATGATGATAGCTCAGAGAAATTAGCCATTAATCCACTTGAGAACTCACAACTATAAATTATTGATATTAAACCTATGATCCATAGTTTCTCTACTGAATCATACCATTAGAAAATAACTAATATATACTATCTTACTAGTCAGCTTATGATGCTATTGATTACTAATATCCTAACCCTAAACTTACAAGAAATACAAAAGGAAGAACTTAGCATAAGGGACACTTAGAAAGCAAAAAAGAAGAAGAGCATAAACCAAAACTAATATTGCTGAATACAAAAAGGGTATTACCAGAATAATTATACACCTAAAACAAATTTAAAATCATAGTGTACAAAAACAAAAACTTTATAATCAAATTTCACCTAAAAAGAAGTCAAAAACATTACTTCATCTTCAAAATCACTAACATGACATAACCGAGAACTTTCTTGCTTGAATTTCCAGGACCACCAAGTCAACATACTATACATAAACAATAAAACCAAAAACTAATGCTTTTTAGTGAATACAATACAGCAAAATTTAAAGAAACACAAAATGTCAAGTGATCTCAACAACCCAGAAACGGAAACAGCAAAAAAAAAAAACTTAAAATTCTTACCAGATCTATCAAATATTCTTAATCATAAAAACACAGGAGATTTAGAACCCAGAAAAGCTACGAACTTGAAACAAATCAAAACAAGAAACCAAACCCAGAAGCAAAACAAACACCAACTAACCACTAAGGCAGTGTTTTTGTGAATTCAAGAAACTGAAAACTAGATAACAAAAGGGGTAAGCGTTAAAAGAAAATCATGGGCACGTGGCTAATGTGCTGTAATAACAACCGAAACTTCATTTTTCGCTATCAAAGTTACTGTTTTGCAAGAGAGAGTAAGCAGAGATTTTAGAGAGAGAAAGTGCCGTGTTTGTTATTTTTTTGGAGAAATAAAACACTGTGACTAATGAAATGTGAAGTCGTTTTAGTGACGGTTGATGAGTCGTCATCATTTAGAGCTGTGGGTTCCTGACATAGTCAATGGCGTCACCTTTGTTAGACATTTGGAGCCATCTCAATACGGCAAGACCATGAAAAGTCTTTGCATTGTAGATAATTAATAATTTATTGGAGCACCGGTGTTTCGCAAAATTTATTTTTTTATTATTATTTTGATATCTTAGGTTAAAAATAATTTTTTTATATTTATAAATAAAAAAATATTTTGAAAAATTACTTTTACTGTTGTCCCAAACAATTTTTTTTAAATAAAATAAATTGTTCATGTTTGTGGAAAAAATTTGTGATTATGACAGCTGATTTGATCTCTAAATTAGTTGCATATCATTGTTGCATATTATATTAGAGCGTTCATGCCTCAAAATTGGATTGAATGGAGAATTATTGAATTAATTATGGTTCAATCAATGTTTTTGTGTTGAAAATTGTTTGTAGTTGCTATTAAAAATAAAAAAAAGGTAACCCTGTCTAGTCATAGACATCTAGTCATGTATATGGCCATGAGGCCCATGACAACATGGGAGATGATGTCACTATGATTAAACAAGGATTCAATCATTGTAGGTAATGGGTTGGGTGCATCTAATTCATGAAATATTAAAATTAAATCTATCTTAAATAGGCTATCAATATTATAATTGAAGAAATATTTTTTTTATTTTTTTATTTTATTTAAGATTAAAAGTCTAACTGCTAAAAAGAAGAAACTGTTTGAGAGAGAGTATTGTAGCTTCTTATTTTAAATGTTTTTAAAAGATGATTTGATTTTAAAAAATAATTAAATTAATATTTTTTTAATATTTTTTGATGATTTTAATGTGTTGTTATAAAAAATAAAAATATATTTTAATAAATTTTTAAATAAAAAAGTATTTTTAAAAAATATATTGCACCACAATACTAAATACATGCTAAATATGTGATTGATATTGCTGTAACTTTCATAGTTAAGAAAATACATTTTAAAAAAATAATTTTCATAGTTAAGAAAATACATTTTAAAAAATAAATATAAAAAATAAAAAATATGAAAGATGAATTTTTGCATATGAAATAAATAAATATATTATCTTAACTCTTATAAAATCAATATTTGAAATAAAATTACACGTGGAGGTGGAGACTAGTGTAAAAATTAAAAATTATACATTTTTTTCTTTGTGATCGGATAAAAAACAGAAATTATTATAAAACCAAATAATATTTAAAAAAGAAATACATCATGCTAATTATAATACCAAAATGTATCGTTATTATGATACAAATACGGTATCTCTTCTTTGATACTCTCGTGGCTATCCAAAATTGTCCCTATTGCCTATTGGCAAGGATAAGAATTGTGGAAAACTTTTCAATTCTTCAAGAGCCAACAAAAAGGCAAAAAATAATATATATATATATATATAAACAACTTTCATAATCATGAATTTTTCTCAGAATTAAATCTTAAATTATTTTACCTGTAAATTTACAGTGTTTTAATTCTTGAATAGTGCTATGATGTGAACGCTTATACTATCGTACAGAGCAATTCTAAAAGAAAAACACGGCGTTATTTACAAAAGAGTATTATATAAATTCTAAAATTTACAGACTAAAACCTATTTAATCTCAAGGTTTTGCAAATAATTACCATGGCTATTAAACCGGATTAATAGGTAATTTATTAACCCATAACTTGAATTGAGTAAGGTTTCATTTTAAATTGTTTCCAAGGTTAATCTTATTTGAAAATCTAATCAGATTTAATTGAGACTTTATCAGGTTAATTTTATAATTTTTTAAAAAATTATTTAAAATGATTTTTTAAATTTTTTATAAAAAAATTATTTGAAACAATATTGTTTTGTTTAAGAAATGAAAACAATAACATTTTAAATTGACTTTAAAAAACCTATAATACAAGCTATGAGTTGAGTTAAGCGAGGTCATTTGACATACTATAATACAAGCTATGAGTTGAGTTAAGCAAGGTCATTTGACATAATAATAATAATAATAATTATTATTATTATTATTTAAAATATTTTTTATTTATAAATATATTGAAATAATATTTTTTATAAAATTTATTTTTATTATCATAATATAAAAATGATCCAATAACACTCATAAAAAATTAGTTTTAAAAAATAATAAATAAATTGTTACAAAAAACATTTTTCAATTAGAAGTGTTATGGGTGAGAAAAAAATCAAAAAATTAATTAAATTTAAAAAACAAAAAAAATAATTGAAAAAACTTAACCGTAAAAAAATCAATTAAACAGATTAGAATTTTAAAAAAATCCAACTGGTTTGGTTCGATTTTAGTTTTATAAGTCTAAAATTAGAAAAGTCAAACCAAACCGAACCCAAATTAAAAAAACCAGAAAAAAATAGAGCCATAGGAAAAAATCGAGTCAAACCGATTTGAACCGAGTTTTTTTCAAAATAACTGAAATTGATCAATTTAAAACTATTTCAATAAAGTTTTAATTTTTTTTTCAAAAATATAATTTTTTTTAATACGAACAGAACAAAACCAAAAAAAAAATCACATTAAATAGTTAAATAGTATTCTTTAATAAACATGATAAAAATGATAATCACTGGAACCCCAAATTCAGTTAACCGACCAAAACATTCCCAAAGGAGTCAACTCTAATAAATGTCCACCAGAATCAAGGAATACCCATGTTGGCAAATGAAGACTATAGAAATACATGGGCTGTCTCAAAAATTAACCATGGGCCTATTCTCGACCGCCTGTTCCTAGACATAAAATCTTACCATATATTTCCTTCATTTTTATTTTTATTTCTCGACAAGAATGCTTTTCATATTAAAAACCTCCTAAAGCTTTGAAATGCGACCATTTTTTTTGTTTTAATGGCAGTAGATGTTTCTTTAGGGCAAAGAACATGTTTTCTGGTAGATATAGTGCGATTCTCAATTGAGTACACCAACAAAATAAATTTTTAATTGAATCCATTCGAACATCTCTGAAAATCTCCACTTTTAAAATTAATGGAAAATATGTTTATTTGAGAAGAATAGGTCCTTTTTTTCTTAATATTTTGAAGGCAAAAACTTCAATGCTAAGGGCTAATTGAGTAATGTTTAGTTTATGGAGGACTCAATTGAGATTTCTTTTATTTGGGGATTCAATTGGGAATTGGGTGACACTCGGGGATTGGATTTTTCCTTCCCCGTTTTTGTTGTTTATTTTAATTAAAGAGCCAAAAGATAAAATCTTAAAATAAATACATTTGAAAACAAGAAGAACATTGAAACATTTTTTTTTTTTTTATCTCTTTTATTTCAGAATAATAAAAAATTAAGTTTATGAGTAAAATAGGATGAATGAAACATGAAGCTAACACATATTGTTCTTCCTCCCATTGAGGACTGACAAAGAAAAAACCCTAATCTTCTTCGAAAGATCGATAGGTAGCAGATTCATTTCTAGGTGCATGTAACTGAGCCACAGAACTAGCTGGAAAAGGATGGTTGATGACATAGGTCAAGATACCACCTTCCCTCCGTGGACGAGGCTCATGACAACGAGGGGAATGATGTCAGATTAAACAAGGATTCAATCACTGGAGGCAATGGGTTTGGTGCTTCTAATTCATGAAATATTTATCTTAAATAGGGTATTGGTATTATAATGGAAGAAATAATTTTTTTATATTTTTAAATTTTATTTAACATTAAAACTTTAACAGCTAAAAAAGAAGTCGTTTGAGCGACTATTTATGTTTCTAAGAGTGTATTTGTTTTAAAAAATAATAAAATTATTTTTTAATATTTTTCAATGATTTTAATATATTAATGTGAAAAATAGTATGCATTACAATATAAAACATGTACTAAATATATTTAATAAAAATACAAAATAATTCTTTATAATTTTTTGTTAAATAAAAAAATAGTCAAACATGGTAAAAAAACTATGATACAGACCCCATAAGATAAAAAAAACAAGGAATATAATAAAATAAGAAATGAGACACACAAGAATTTATATGATTTACCCAATTAGATTACGTTTACGAGCAAATATATAATGATTTTACTAAGTAATGTGAGAATTACAATATCTCTCAAATAATAAAAAAAAAACTAAGAATCTCTTCAAAAAAACACCATACTTACTCGCTCGTGAGTATCTCATAAATACCCATAAATTATACTAATAACTTATCTTCAGTTATACTCCATCAATTATACTAACAGTTCTACTAATTATATTGATAACTCTATTTATTTTTATTTTTTATTAATTATATAAATTTAATTAAGTGGTGGCTTTACAAGAAACGCAGAGCCCGAAGAATATAATTAACTTTATGGAGAGTGGTTTTATTTAAGTCAAATGTAGATAAGAAAAATAAAATGAGTAAGGAAATTAAAAGACAAGAAAGAAAAGAATGGCATCGAGGAATATCGAGGCCAGAGAAAATGAAAGGCCATCACACGTTAAAGAGCCGCATTAATACTATCTACCACGAAGAACATCTCTTTCTCCCCTTTGTCTTTGCCTCCTCTTGTGAAATTCTTCAATGTATGCCATCACTCAAACTTTTGAAACATTCACGTCAATCAAGGTTTAATATTATTTTAATTTTTTAAATCAGGTTAGATTTTTATTGGGTTGTGAATTCATCGTACCTTAACATGATTTAATTTAAATTATTTTTGAGTTGATAAATTACTAGATTTATCACTTAACTAGGTCAGATTTAATACCTATGTTGTCTTCTTTTTTTTATCTACTTTTTACAGTAAGATTATTTAATTTTTATCAATGTATACACTGAATTATCATACAAATAATAGCATAAAATTTTATTTTATTGTTTTAATGAGTTATTCTTAGGCCATGCTATGAAAATAGTTTCCTTTTTATCAAGTATAAAGTCTAACCTTCCAACATGGACGATGGAGAATAATAGCAATTATATTACCATTCCGACCAAAGTTTTAAGGATTATATAATCCACAAATAGCCTAAATAAACAAGTTGCAACTAGAAATCAACATGGACCCATATTTTATCATCGATAATATCCAACGACCTCTGAAAGCATTTCTTTTCGAAGAAAAAGTTGATGGGTCAATATCGCACCACCATCCTTTTCTTCCATATAAGACCTAACGTTTGCCTTCTTCTGCTCTAATATATCACCATCTTTGAATGTGAAATCAACCCATTTCTTTCGAAAGTCTCGCTAGTGCTCTCTCTCTCTCTCTCTCTCTCTCTCTGGGATGACCTAAAACCAATGTAGTCAGCTTCAAAACCTTAAATATCAAATCCACTTGAAAAATGTCTTTCTCAACTTTGCATAGAACAGTTGTTTGAGTTGCTAATCAAATTACTATGATTATCGTTAAGGTTATGTCTGTTAGTGACAACAATATAAAATAAATTCATTTTTGAAATAATTTTGTAATTAATTCTTGTACTTTTAAAATAAAAATTACATAAACATATATATATATATATATATATATATATATATATATATATATAATTCTTGTACTTTTAAAATAAAAATTACATAAACATATATATATATATATATATTCCCTCTATATATTTTTTTTGTCTCCATCTCTTCTCTGTCTGCACAGAGAAGTTTACAGTAACTTACTTCTGCTGCTAATACAAATAGTGAAGTACTACTGTACATGATTCATTAAAGTTAACGAATGAATATATATCATGGATGTTTCATGGTCGGCTAGTTGATTGGGAAGGCCTAAAATAAATCCTCTATAACAAAATAAACTGAAAGGGCAAGAGGGTAATAACAATGCCTTTACTGCTCAAATCCACTTTGGATTGTAATCCTGAATTTTTATAATTTTACCCCTTAAACCCAAATCAATTGGGCTCAATTGGGCTAGTTATTGATGGTAAGAGAGTTTTTTTTTTACTAAATAATAAAAGAACAAAAAATATTCTTGAAACAAAAAAAAAACTTAGATTTGTTATTTTATCAATCCAATATAGATTAATTTTGAGTTGTAATTGTCAAAGAATCTATCAATTTAAAAATATAAATTTTTAGCTAAGATTTTAAAATATAATTTATATTATTTTTTAAAATATACTCTTAAATGGAGGTTTTTTCGAGTTTGAAAATTGCATAAACTCATATTAATTTTTATCAAATAAATAAATTTAGTAATATTATATTAAAAAATTATCATAACTTAATAATTTAATTTAAATTATTAAATATAATTTTAAAATATAATTTATATTATTTTTTAACCATAATAAAAAATATACCAAATATAAAAAAATTCAACTATTTTAAAATATAATTTATATTATATTCTAACCGTAATAATAAAAATATATACCAAATTCAAAAGAAAAGGAATTAATCTAGAACTTATTGCGCAACAGACAAAATCAAAGTACATAAGTTTCAAAGTTTAAATTAGAGTTATCATTGACTGACGACAAAAGGAAGATTTCAACAATCTTAACAAAATATGATTTTGTTTTTTCTTTTGAGCCCTTCTCTTTTCTTTGCTTGAATAACAATTATGATTGTTATTTTCTTTTTATCTTCTTCAAGATACAATTGTGATCTAATTATTGTATTTTTCAACATTAGTACCTTTTTACCGTCGGCACTCAGCCCTTTGACCCTCTGGCCCCAAAAGACAAAATCTTGAATTGGACACTGGAAAGCCTCTGATAATCAACGTCATGCAATATCATGCCTTACTCCTCTGCTTCTCTGCATTGAATTTGGTTGTTTCTGCAACTTGTGCTGATGTGTTTTACAACTAGTAGATTCCTTTGAATGACTTGTTGTGTTTTGGTTATGGTGGGTCCTGTTCAAGCTAGGCATTTCACATGCTTCGAGTTCCAAAAAATGTTTTTGATTGATACATTCATCTAACTTACATTTCTTTTTAACGTTTTTATGTACAATTGTAGGGTTTGATTGGCGGGAGTTTTAACTGATGTAACTAATTTGAACCGGCCGGTCTACCTAAAGAGAATCACCCGCAAGTGGTGTTTGTCCTCGTTGGTGTCTCTTTCTTCACCACTTTCTTGCTTCAATAGCTGTACTTTGTTTTCTATGCTTGATCGTGAAAGAACGTCAATGAACCTTTTGGTACTTAATTCTTTGCTCCCAAACCAAACTCAAATCACCAAGAAATGGCTTCCTTACATCAAATGCTCTCCGAGGAAGGATTTGAGCACAGAAAGTTCTTGAGAAGTAGAGACAGATTAACTAGACCAGAAGAGTCTGTAATATTGCCACTACATAATTCCCATGACCAAAAGAGGTTCCAGTCTCCTAAGCAGAAGACCGATATGGGTTCCACGCGAAAAGGGTCGTCGATATTTTCGTCGAGGAGAGTGAATTCGGATTCGGAGAGGTTGCAGTCTAAGTCATTGTTGAAGGGAGAGGAACCTGCAATTGATGTAACAGCTATTAGAGCAGTGGTATCTATACTTAGTGGTTATATAGGCAGATACATAAAAGATGTGAGTTTTAGGGAGATGATTAGAGAGAAGTGCAACTCTTGCTTGGTGAGAAGAAGCAAGGGTTCGGATGATGGTATTTTTGTGAATATGGAAGTGGCCATGGAAAGCATTGAGAAGTTGGTTGAAGAGAAAGCAGCAACAAGGAAGGAAGTGAAGATGGAGTCGTTGAAAAATTCAATTCAGCTTTTGAACATTGTTGCCTCATTGAATTCTAAGAAATCAAGGAAGGGTTCAACTTGTGGTGTACCCAATTCACATCTCTCAGCTTGTGCTCAATTGTACTTGGCAATTGTTTACAAGCTGGAGAAGAATGACAGGATATCTGCTAGGCATCTACTTTATGTTTTTTGCGATTCGCCATTTCTAGCAAGGGCTCACTTGCTTCCTGATATTTGGGAGCATTTCCTTCTTCCCCATCTACTCCATCTCAAGGTTTGGTACCATGAGGAGCTTGAGGCTCTCTCGGACTCCCAGCATGTTGAGGAGGAAAGACGGATGAAAGCTTTGAGCAAGGTCTATAATGACCGGATGGATATGGGAACCATCCAGTTTGCTCTGTACTATAACGAGTGGCTCAAGGTTGGGGCTAAAGCTCCTACTGTTCCTGCTGTCCCTTTGCCATCTATACCAAGTTATGCAACATCAATGAGGAGAACATCAGATTCTTATAAATCGCGTTCCTCCATCAACACAAACTTGTAAGTAATCGATCACCATTTCCAAGTATTTTTCAAAATTAGAGAAAAGGTCTTGACAGTTATGTTATTTGCTTCATGATTTTTGTTTTGATCTCAGCAGATACCGAGCTGTGTTTGGCCCCACGCTAGAGCGGCAATCGAAGGACTTCGATTTTCGAAATAGAGCTTCAATGGATACATGGAGCATTGAGGAAGATAAAGTGTGCATAGATGAATACAAAGATTGCAGTTATGCTACTGTGAGTATCCCTTTGTCCCTATTCTCAAAACTCTGCTACCCTTTTCACTTGCCTATTTGTAACAAAATCTACTGCTTAATTGGAGAATATAATCAACAGGCTAATAATAAGACGAGGACTACTCGAAGGCAATCAAGTCAAAATTATGCTATTTCGAATCATTATACATGGCATGAGCCGCTGAAATCAGAACTCTCTAGGCCTTTTACATGTCAAAACGTGTCATCAGAATGTCTAGGGAATGGCAACATCATAGTCAGGAGTAATTCAATCAGGAATGAAGAGACAACCCACCTTCCTCCTATTGATCTAAGTAGAACCATTAGCACTATTTGCTCCTCAGATAGTCTGACTGAGTGTGAAACAGCAATCCGTGTCACTGCCAAAGCGTGGTTGGACTCCATTGGCAGTAATGTAATTGCAGGTGCTTTATCTAAAGCACCTGTGATTGAGGGATTGCTTGAGTTCTTGTTTGCTTCTACTGATGACGAAGTTCTAGAGCTGGCAATATCTATTCTAGCGGAGCTCGTAGTAAGAAATGAAGCAAACAGGTTAATAGTACTGAACTCTGATCCACAGCTCAAGATCTTCATGAAACTCTTAAGAAGTAACAGTTTGTTTCTTAAAGTTGCGGTTCTGCTTTACCTATTGAAGCCGAAGGCAAAACAGATGATATCTTTAGAGTGGGTAGCACTAGTCCTACGAGTTTTAGAGTTTGGAGGCCAGTTGCAGACCCTATTCACCGTACGGTGCATGCCTGAAAAGGCAGCAATGTACTTCTTAGGCCAACTTCTAACAGGTTTTGATGAAGAGAGGAACTTAGAGAATGCTAGTCAAGTTGTTGCCCTGGGAGGATTGAGCTTCTTGGTAAGGACCTTTGAAATAGGAGACATAATTGAGAGAAATCATGCTGCTACGCTCATGTTATGTTGCATTCGAGCTAATGGGAGCTCTCGGAACTACCTAGCTGAGAATTTGAACAAGGATTCTATCCTTCAGCTCATTGTTCTCGGAATTCAGAAGAAATTTAAAGGATATGTGTTCACTTTACTAGCCGATCTACTGTGCCTGAGTAGGTATGAATTTTCCAGTTTCTCTTCAGCAAAACATTTTTTGTAAGTTTACTATTCATTTTGTGTTCTGATTAATCTGAGGAAATGTGAGCAGACGAACGTGGATCATCAAATTCTTAACTGGACTCTGTAATGGATGGGGTGGCTTGAACACCATGCACATCTTTCTAGTCTATCTCCAGAGAGCTTCACCTGAAGAACGTCCTCTGGTTGCAGCAGTTCTCTTACAGCTTGATCTTATGGTAAGTACATTTTTTAGTAGGCTAACGATCCATATTGGCGTCGAAACCAAAATGCTATTTTATAACAGTTTGGTTTCAAAATCTTGAACAATAAATAGCGGTGATGTTGCAGGGAGATCTTTCGCAGTCCAATTTATATAGGGAGGAAGCGGTTGAGGCAATCACGGAATCTTTAGAGTGTCATAATTGTAGCACCAAGGTTCAAGAACAATCGGCGAAAGCTCTCCTGATGTTGGGAGGCTGTTTTTCATACTCTGGAGAGGCATCAGCAGAAGAATGGCTTTTACGACAAGCAGGTTTCCACGAGAGATTACGGGATTCATTTCAACGCAAGGAGATAGTTGATGGGAACTTGGTAAGCTTTAATATAGCTTCGTACCAGCAAAATGAATTCACTTTTAGAAAAGATTTCATTCTGAAGCACAAGGGAGGAGAGGTCTTTATGGTGCTGCAATTTTTATTTTGTAACATTAGTCTAACAAATGAGGAAGCAACAGTTTGCTGATATAAAAAAGTTCCTACACTCATGTGTAATGATTGCTTGTGCATTTTTAATGGTCGAACGAACTAGAATGAAGAGGAAGATGCAATGGAAGATTGGCAAGGGAAAGTAGCAGTAGTTTTGCTCAACAGTGGCGGAAAGAGGTTTTTGTCTGCCCTTTCCAATTCCATTGTCAATGGCATCCCGATTTTAGTACAATCAAGCCTCGTCACTGTTGCATGGATGAGAAGAATCTTGCTTCCAGTCAGAAATGAAAATTCATACTCAACAATAACACCGCGGCTAACAGAATCACCACATTATGACAGAGCTCTTAATGGAAGAATGAATCCATCTTTTTCACAGCGGCATCTCATAAAAAATTCAGGTACAATGTTCTTGATCGATGAATTTTGTTGAAAAGCTTTTTAAAGGGTCTTTTACCTTCTGTTTTCTTGCATAGAGAGCAGGCAACTTACTCACAAATTGCCTCGAAACCTAACAAGGAAACATGCGCTTTATGCCAACTAAAGCTGAGCTTGAAAGAATCATTTTAGTTCTAACATGTCTGCAACGTGTACAAACCTGTCATATCTGATCAGAAGTTTGTTTCTCTCCTTAAACCTTTAATTTTCTGTTGACAGAATCTCTCTCTATGCTTTCAACATTGAATAAAGAGTTGATAGATCCTCTTCGAAACCTTTATGACATGGATATCTTATCAGCCTATCTTTTCAATCAACACAAGCAATCACAGGAATCAAGAAATGCAACCAAAACACTGACAACCTGAATTCCTATAGCGCGATCGTCATCGCCAAGTTGTAGATCAGAATTCTTGTTCCTCAAGAGGAGTTTAATACATGTTAATCTGTCATCATACTTAGTCATGTTCTTTGTTTCTGAAGGCATTTCCACTGCATAGTAATGGTTCCAGTGCAAGGTCTTTCTCTTCACTTGCATTGATTTTGTAAGAGGCATGTATTGAAGTGGATTTCTCCAATCACAACGACAGCTATAGATTGATGAGATAATTCTTCTATATCCAGCTCATTAGCCTGAAAGGACATGGCTCGAAACTTCACGTTGTCTGTCAAGAACATTATCTCTGCACCTTTCCAACTCACCCCACCGCTCGGACACATGCAATGGCCTCCACCACCCGTGCCATTGCTGCTTACAATTATCTCCATTTGGCCAATCCTGACCTGTCACTCCACCATTCATCTGTGCCAGGTTACAGATTTACTAATCAAATTTATGCAGGAGCCTTTCTCAACTATGCGATGTCCATGTTCTATGCATCTACTGATACCACCTAGAAACAACAAATTTTAGTGTTCTGGCCTGGCCTGGCACTGCCCTTTATTGAAAAGAGGGCATATAATTCCAAACACAACAAAATGCAGCATGAGCTGCAACTCACAGAAAGAAAACATTTCCTAGCAAATTTTATGTAGATAGTCTTCTTCTTGTTCTTGAGGTCCCCCCATCACTTGCAGAATATGCAAAGCGATGGTCTCTGTTCCACATGAATGATACCATGCCCTAATTAGTACCTTAAAGAACGAAAATACAACATTACACATTAATCTGAACCATAGAATCAAGACAAACTCAAGCTTCCAGAAATCTAATAAAATAAAATAAATTCAATGACAATAAAAAAAAAATCATCATCGTAACTGGAACACACACATGTGGTCCCCTACTGTCATTGGATTTTCTTACAACGAGTGTACTCTGCATCCACTTCGTAAAATTAGAGGTTTAGGGAGTTAAAATCATCATCTTCTGAATTTGTTGAAAGCGTATTTGGATAGGTTTTTATACACTTGTAATAGTTTAACTATTCTTCCCTCGACTACAAGAACTAAATATCACAGTGTTACTTGTACTAACAGTAACGCTTCTCAGTTTCAAGAGAAAAAAATATTTTTTAAAATTTTAATTTTTAATTTTTTTCATTTAATTTTATTTTTAAATATGTTATTTATTTCAAATGGATCATTTTTCATTTTTTTTCTTCTATATAAAGATATTGTAATTTTAAACAAACATTTTAATTTTTAATTGATACTTAATTTTTACGAATATTTATTTTATTATTATATAATTAAATTAAAAAATAATTAAAAAACATTTTTAAATTGAATTTCATGTTCTAAATCTTGAAATTTACAAGTTATGTGATGTAAACTTATACAGTCACCTCTCAAAGCTAGGTGATTAGACAAAAAATTGAGTAAATTTTTTTTAAAATTGACCATTAAATTTAATTTAATAACAATAATAAATAATTCTTTAAAACCTCAGATATAAAAAAATTTAATCTCAACCACGATGCAGAAAACTATTTGTTCATGCTTACTTCGTCATTTCTTTTGATCGTATTTTGGTCCTTCGCCACATGAAATACTACCAATGTGAATAAACAAGGATGTAGCTGTGATTAAATTAATTGGAATTCATTTGTGGGAAAGAAATAATTAGACAAATAACTTGCAGTTTCTATGTTATGCATGTCATCTTTCGATACCCTACTGGATGTCATCAGTTTTCAAAGATTCTGCTTGATCTGGATTCTTTTGCTTTGCTGGAATCATAGGGGGAGATTAACTTGAATGTACAGTGGAAGATGAGGCTGAGAAAACAAAAAAAGCTTCAGGCTTCGAATCCAAACCTGCTCAGAATCACAAGAGGTTTTTTCGGTTTGGCTTAGAAGTCATAACCATCATCCCCTCGGTACACAAGTGAAAAATTCACAAAATATCATGCGAATATCCAAGACAATTCGAAAAGAATTACAACACTAAACAAGAATGCTCTTCATCTTTGCTACAGCTTAACCTAAAGATTCTGTTAGACAGGACTCCAAGATTTCGGTTGAGCCATGAGCTCGTGGCCTCGCTTTCAACTTCAAAATGAAAAATCCCCACTCATTATTGGTGAAAGTGCAAGAATCCTTTGAATATGATAAAAAGCTGCTAATAACAAGAATGTATCATTCTTGATGATTGACTAGCACAAGCATTTTGAAGGGTCAATAAATAGATAGCAGGGCAAATCACATTGGGACTAACAGGAGGGATAGCTGATAAGATACAAACGATGAATCACAAGGCATATTAACAACATCAAAAGAAACATAGTTTTAAATTCAAAACCAACAATGTCAACAAGCATAACGCCATTTAAACGTTTTAAAACACACGAGGCTTAGTAATAGAAACCAAGAAACACAAAGAAAACAGCCATCCAAACAGAAAACAAACCTAAAAGACATGCCATTCCTCAGATTCCCATGATCTGCAACCATGGTAGATACAGAAGAATTTGTGACTAGTTAGATTCACGCACAAACTCCTTCACTAATTTTTTATTTGCTTAGAAAAGGAGCGAGTTTGCGTAACATCATTTCAAAAAGAGATGAGGTGGTGATCTCCTTCACTGCCAGAATAGATGGGAACTTGCCGATAGTTTTTCAAAGGCAATCTCTTTCACTGCCTGAAGTGATGGAGACCGGCCAACAGATTTTCAAACAAAATACATGATGTTTTCCAGGTCCGCATGCAGCATACAGAACCTCTCTTCCATCGAAGCTCCCACTGACAGAGATGACGAAGTCCTAGAAGATGATGAAGATGATACAGAAGATGGAGACTGCCCTTCCATTACTGCCTCATGGTAGAGCCTTCCTCTATAAGCAACAAGGTCAGCATAGTAGACTGGTGGAACTAACGACACAGGTTTTGTGCAACGAGCAAATGTAAAGCACATGTCATATATGAGCTTCTGCAACTGATCAGAACTGAGGCCATGCTCATCCCATAGAACATGGTAATGTGTGGGCTTGCTTGTCCCGAGGCTTCCATAGTGGCTGCAGAGGTAAAAATCATACTCGAAAGGATGGACAATTTTTGTGTCCACAACTGTGCCCGGAGACACATTGCCTATACGCCCCCCATCCTCAAGAAAAAGACGAGTCTGGTGCCGCTTCTGAGCAACAATGAGTGTGATGGTTGGGGTGTACATGATTGACCTAAAAGCCCTCTTGATGTCCATTAACTCGTCATTGAGAACCATATCAAACTGGCCCTCACTGACCCCATCCCGGAATATCACAATCTTCTCAGGTTTTGCTTTATTAAGCCGAGAATAAAATTCAACAAGCTCCAAACACATATCACCAAAATTCAGAATCTTCTCACAACGATGGTCCTGAGGACGAACTCGAGCTGCATAGCGATTTGCAGCTGGCCAATTTGTAGTACCAACAACAGCAGCAATGGATGGACTTGTTGTGTTTCGAGCAGCAGGATGGTTGACATCAGCCCCGATAAACATGATGTGGTTTTCATCCCCAAAGTGTGGAAGTCTGTCGCTGAGCTCTGCATTGCTTCCTCCAAGCTTAGCATTAATCTTGAGACCAATATTGGCAAGGTACTGATCATTTAATTTATTTGCAGAATGAGACAGACAGCATTGTGTCACAATACCAACTTTGGTTTCAGAAATCCATTTGAGATACTTGTAACCAGGATCCTTCTTTGACATGACACAGAGAAGAAACTGCAACTGGCCTCTACAGATTTTTTGAGCCCGGTCATTGACTCTTTCAAGGAGTTCACGAAGCATACCAACATTAGAGAACAACTGCATGCTAGTAGGTTGATAAAAGAGAGGCTCTTCCATGCGAATCCCCAGTTTCAGGCACCGAGCAATAAGCTTTGGGATGAAACGGTCAGGATTGAATCGACATTTATAATCATCAGAGCTGAAGTCAAGAACAGCCCATCGCTCAATTGGTTTCCCTTCCACCACACCTTTTCCAACAAGATTCCATTGACACTTCTCGTCAACAGCTATTTTCATCACCCTTCCATCTGGAGCACCTAACTTCAATTCAGGTGGCCTGATCACACGACCTACCACCAGGGTCATATCCATGCTGACTTCCATTCCAAAATTTCGGATAATCTCTCCACTGCAAATAAAATAATAAAAAACATGAGAAACTAATCCACAATTTTAAACAAGAATATTGTATCACAAGTAACTTAACATAGAGAGATATCCACTTGCTTCTATGAATTTTACAAGATTTTACCATGTAAGATGATGCAAGCATACCATGCAGAAACATAAAATTCAGTAACTTCAAATTTTATGGCAGAAAAATGGTCATTCTGAGATGCTCAGATAGGCAAGACTTGAATATGCATTGTATGCTCCTCCATCAACAACCACCATATATTCAAGCTGCACACGCTATAAACCACACTAGTTAGAGCAGCACCTGAACTCACCAGTATGCCACACCATACTAGGCCAAAACCCATAAATACAGTGCATAAAGGACTAGGATGAGTCAATGACATTGCCCATGATGGCAAATAATCCTGGTTGCTCAGAAAACTCGCAGAAGAAAAATGAAGTTTTTGTGAAGTACAATAAAAAAATTTTGCTCTGAGCAGTTTAATCAAATGCACCCATGCCATTTAATTAAATATATAATAGGTAAACACATCAAGGATGAAAAAGTTACAAGCATAATGCAAAGTGACAGCCAATCAGAAAACCATCTCTATTTTTATTGTTCTAAGTGAAGCAAATAACTGTACGTAAAAATACAACCTCCAATCATGTATTGAAATGAAAAGGCAACGTGTTGCAAATACATACCCAAAAGGTCCATCTCCATCCCGTACCATACTGCATATTGTTTTCTGTCTATCCTTGGCCTTGGCTAGTGAGATGTCCTTCAACATCTGGGCTTCGTCTTTCTGCAGATGCTCTTTTGGAAATACTTGCCCTTCAACCAAGACACAGTACTCCATCGGTACATAGTTTCTCATGTTGCTTTTCATTTCTAGGCAAGGGATATCTTGATGCACTATATCACTGCCATATTTTTGCCTGAAATAATCAACAAGCCTAACATTCTGTGAAGCCTTGCCATCTGGATCTTCTTGAGAAAATGTAATATCTCGTGTGTCATCTCTCGTCAACCCAACAATAACATATTTTTGTTTGGTGACACGGTGAGTCACTCTAACTTTGAGTCCTTTCAATGCCATTTCCACACCTCTCCTACATCTTCCAAAATTATTTAAATTAAACCCAGAAATATGTTTTGTCAAGAAATCTATCACAGAAACTGGCTCGTGAAATGACAGAACAGAATAATCCAAGCATAAAGCTAGGCCCTGGGAGGTCGGCTTGAGGCTATGTTGACAACCTTTAGATGCTATGATTCCATACCCAAGGTTATCTTGGTGAGCTCTAACAGAATGGAAGCCACGACCAACAGAGATCATCGTCCTAGCTGGGTGCTCTTTCACCACCACATCCATCCCTTGCAATATGTCACGAGGTACTGAACGAAGTGTCCCATCCAAGTAATCCTTCAGCTTGCGCAGCTGAAGTTCATTCACAAGCTTTATGGTAAACAAGTAAGACCGTGGTTTCGCATCTTCTGCCTCAGAGACCTCCACTCTAAATGTTCCTGTGGGCAAGGGAACTGCACTGAAAATGTTCTTCTCCCTATCATAGGCAGTCTTACCTAAAGGAAACCGTGAGGGATCATCAGTAAATAACTTATCCCTGATCATTGTCAGGATGGACTTTGAAATTTTCCCAGGCCGGCCATGCTTGGGAGGCACTTCTTGTTTGATATCAACATCATAATGCCTTATGATACTCTTAGGACTGAACTTAACAGGAAAGTGATTAACAAGAAGCCTAGGGGTTCGGACCGCCAGCTGGCCACCTGTATCTGGTCGTTGAACTGGACTAACCCTATTAGCAATGTCCGAAGAGGAAGAAGCCAAAACTTTTGGCATGTTAGGAGCTGCAAAGAAAAGAAAGCTTATTTCATTAAGGTTTCCAACTTGTGATAAATTCAAAAGTATCCATTTGCTTCTATTAAAAATTATTGACTAGTGGAATTGACAAAGATATTCAGCATATAGTTGTTCTATTGGCAGTTGCCCTGAATTCATATTAAGATTAAAAGGACAATACAACCTATCAATAACTTTCTTGATGTGCCAATTTGTTAATAAAGACAAACATTGGAAGTGCACATAAAATAACTATCATGATTTCATTGCCACATTGTAGCAAGCTACAGATAATAACAATCTGGACTTTAGATGAACTTTGAACTTCAAGCATAACAACATCCACTAAGTTCTAAATCCATGTTGTTTAAAGCAACACTAGGACAGCAAAAAGATGCAAAAACCTCTAATCGTGGCCATGAACACACTATCAAGGAGATTTATCCTCATTTTTAAACAATTTGGGGAAAAAAAACAAAAATCAAAATGACACATCCACAAAATACAGAGCACCACTGCTTGGAATGAAGTTGACCAAATAACACAAGGAAAAACTTCGCTACTTAGGACATACTAACTTTCTTGCATAAGTGAGTTAAATAGCACCAACCAAAACAAAAGGGCACAACTAGGCAAAACTCAATGGCCGACTACAGTGTATAAAGCCCTGGATTGGAATATGGCAAGTAAATAACCTTGATTATGCCATCTGATTTCTTTTTTCCCAATTCTAAAATAGGAATGATTAATAAATAAGAAGATGAAAAGAAAATTAAATACAGTTAGAAATGACCCCTTTAAAGTTTCAAATTTAGGAAACATGCTTGTATCAGCTAGTTCGGTTATTTAAGTTATAATTCTGGTGTGCCAAAAGCTGCACCATGGTCCTCAAAACATATTTAGAAGCAATGATCAGGTTCTCAACAATTACATTTCTCGTTAAGTATAGTAGCTTGTTGATCACTCGCCAACCTATCAAAATTTCACTAAGTAACACCCTCATTATATCATTTAGGCGGTTCCTAGAAAGGAAGAGAGTAATTTATCCAGCAACCAAGATAAGAACACCCCCCCCCTCTCTTTTTTCCCAACACGAACACGTAAAAAAAAGAGAGCACAATAATTAGTTAATGATTAATGCACTTCCACTTGAAAGGCGTCATTCCAGTTTGGTAATTAACAACAAAGTACAAAAGACCCAAGTCCTGTGACCAAAATACAGACAAGTCATGAATATTACTCCTATTTCAGAAGTAATTCACATAAAGTTCATTAAATAAACTACTAACACAAAGCCACAGAACTCAGAAACCGAGAAACACAAGCTATAAATTCAGTCTGAACTGTAACTCTTCCAACACTAAATATATTCAGAACAACAGAAAAAATTAAAACCCAGAAACCAAAATCCCTTCTTTTTCTCCAACCTCAAAAAATTCAACAAAAAGTTTCAAACTTGGACCAAAAAAACATCCTATTTCACCAAACAGCACAAATAAAAACCGCAACCGTTTCATATCTCCTGCAAACCAACACACAAATAGCAATATAATTGACAAACAAACAAAAAAACTTACTTGGGACAAGATCATCGTTAGAATTTCTAGATGGACCCACATTGCCATCCCTTGAGGGTCCCTTTCCTCCCTTAGTTTCTGACAACAGATCCCTGCCTCTTTCTTCACCACCGCCACGACCAACTTCACAACCCCTTTTAGGCCCCGTTTCACTACTTTGATTGGGTGGACCGCCTCCATGCCGCTCTGATTGTGACCCACCACCACCGCCACTAACACCCTTCGTAGCCCACACTCCAACACTTTGAGCAGGTATACCACCACCACCACCACCACCACTATGCCCACCCCACACTCCACCACCACTTTGACCAGGTATACCACCACCACCACCACGCCCTCCCCTTGTTGCCCACACTCCACCAACACTTTGACCAGGCGTACCATGCCCACCCCTTGCTGCCCACACTCCACCAACACTTTGACCAGGTGTACCACCATCACCTTGATTGTTTGGTCTCCAGTGCTGACGTGGATACCCACCACGACCACCATCTGTGCCCCCACGACCCTCTTCATACCCTCCACGACCACCGTCTGTGCCACCACGACCCCCGTCTGCGCCACCACGACCCCCGCCATACCCCCCACGACCACCGTCTGAGCCACCACGTCCACCATCATACCCACCACTACGACCACCATCTCTTCTTCCTCCATATCCTCCTCTTCTACCACCACTGTTCCTACCACCATGACCACCTCTTCCTCCGCCTCTATATTCTCCTCTCTCCATTGGACAAATCGGGAGTAACTTGGTAATAAACCGGGTGTGAACTCAGCAAACAGTAAAAAACCAAATGAGATTTCTCGGTACAATGCAAGAAAGTTGCAAATTTCTTAGTGATGAAGAATTCTTACACTAATTTAGTGAGGAAAAAATTGTGCTTTTGGTGAGTTTGGTTCTATAAATAAAATGTTAGCTTTCGGTTTAGAACTGAGGATCGGGAGGAAAGCACATAGCAGGTGGGAGGTGTAAAAACCCAAAAATATCCTTCACTTTCTTTTTAAGAATTTAATAGCTTTTTTATTAACAGAAAAAAAAACGGATATATTCTTAAAATAAAACCAGGTCGGGGACCGTGTTATGTCATTATTATTTTTTGGCGCATAAAAGAAATGTTTGGATAAAGATAATATTTTAAAAGAAGTAAAATAAATTTCATACCCAAGTTATTAACTCTAATAGTTTGATTTAAATTATATATAATAGTAGTATATAAACCGTAAAAATATATTTAACAATAACTAATAAAAATAAATGAATCATCAATATTATATTTGTAATAAAAAACAATGGTTGAAAACTCATCATTACTTTATTGCAGATATCACTCGTCATAAAACAATTCTTGTTAAAATAATTTAAATCCAACTACAAAACTTTTGATGATGACATGAGAAATTATATTTGTTGTTGGAGCAATGATACAAAAAAACAAGTTAAATAAAATAAGATGAAGTGAGCATCTATTTATATTAAATAAATCAATTTTATTTAATTTAAGAATAAAATTTATTTAAAAAACAAGTTTAACAAAGAATAACAAGTAAAAAGAGTTGATGTAGCCTGATTAAATGAAAACATGATAAAACCAAGGTCATAGAAAGCATTTAAAAAAAAAGCTTAATTTCTAATTAAATAAATATTATAGAATGAAATTAAAAAAAAATCAGTTTAAAAAATTTATATAAAAAACAAAGAAATCCTAGGCAAACCTCATGAAACTGGGTTAATTTTCAAGGCTTGTAACCCATGAAATTTTAGACATGGACTTAACCAAAAAGCTCAAATTCAAACCAAATAAATATTGAAGAATTAACTCAGGTAAAAAAAATGTCAATTTTCAATTTTTCACATAATAAATAAAATAACGAGGATATAATTTATTAGAAAAAAAAAGTTATAGAGGGTGGAATCATAAAAAATGCAACTCTAAAAACTATTTTAGATTAAAAAATAGCAATTAAAATAATAGAAATTAAATTTGACAAGGTAAAAAAAATAAATGATGATGAAATTAAAACAAAAATATAATTCAATTAATTATTTTAAAAAATATATAACCAAAGAAACAAAGATTAAATAAAAAAGAAATGGAAGTTTAGGGGGAGCTTAAAAATGAGATGGTAGAGTGCAAACATCAAGGAAGAGTGAGGAAAAAACGAAAGAGAAAAAAATAGTTGCCGACAACAAAACAAAATTCTTATTGATGTACGAATCATATATCAATGGAAGAAGAGCTGAGGTGAATGTGAAGTAATCCTAAAAAGGAATTTTCGGTTGCTGAAATTAGTTGCATGTGTTATCAAGAGATAGTGGAGCGTTTGACATATTGACGCATGCTTAGCACATATCAACTTTTTTTTTATTTTTTAAAAATTAGAATGCCCTTGCTCCACCAAAACAAAAAAAAAAAAAGGACCAATCATGATATAATTAAAATATTCTTTGATCCTAGTCTTTGGAAAATAAGTTCAAAAGATAAGTTGGTTTTTTAATTATACCTATAAAATAAAAGTACATAAAAACACTCGACTGTAGGTTAATTTTTTTTTCTATTTCAAGATAGCATGATAACTTAACTATATATATTAATACAAAAGGATATAAATACTTCTCTATAGCAAACAAATTTTATCTTTTTAGAATATCAATATAATTTAATTGTGCAAAAAAAAAACTTATATCATATTCTTGACCAATCTCAAAATACTAAATGGTCTCATTGTAAATACGATTCCATCACTAGTCATTCACCTAAGAATAAAATGATAAATTTATTGTTCCATCCACAGTATATTATGTTTAAATGAAGAATGAATTTACCATTCTTTTTTTCTTAATAATGTGTTATTGCTTCTAAGTTATTTTAATGAAATTCTACTTATCAAACTATTTTTTTTATTGATTTAAATAAAGAACTCACACTAGTTAAAAAAAAATGAGTTTTATTATTAACTGAATACTGGAATTTTTAAAATAAAGTTTGAAATCTTTTTCTAGTAACATAAATCCAACAATTACTTATGGGGCATGGAGAAATAATTTTTTAAAAAAAAAAAACAAATATTGAAAATACGAGTTATAATCACGGATGGTCGCTAGTAAATACTAGAGGCGAGTTCTTTCTTGATATTCAACGAGATTTAATTAACAATTGATTTTTTTTTTCTTTTGTACAGAAGGAATGCTGGAAGAGTAAGACATGAGAAAAGTTTCAAAAAAGAAAATGAAAATCCAATATTCTTCATTTTGTTAAAGCAAGAGTGGATACAAAGGTAGGGTAAAGTAGTAATTCACTTAATCTCCATTTTTTAATATAATTTTTATTAGAAGGCGGTTTTCTTGCTTACCACTCACCGAAAGAGAGAGACCATGCAATTTTGTTTTTATTTTTAAAAAATAGAAATGTCAAGAAATGGACAATCCAGAAGGTTCGGTGGAAACTAGGAATTGTGGGCCACGTAGAGACCGGTTTTAAGGAAAGCGTGGGAGGGAGGGACGGAGCAACTCATGTCATTTTGCACAAATATTATCAATATATTGTCAGTCGTGTCTTCCGTACACCTTCAATTTATGTTTTTAAATATTTTTATTTTTAAAAAAATATTAAATTAATTGTTTTATTAACAAGATAGAAAAAAATTATCTTTTTTATTTTAATATATTTTTAAACAAAAAACTATTTCACAAAACATTTAATCAAAATCTCAAACATCTTTTCACGTTGTAAACCAACAGTATTATCGGATAAATTCAATTATTAACTTATTCCTTTATTTTCTGTAATGAGTTTATTAATTATTGCTATTAATCTATGATTCCACTTTTATGGTATAGGTTTGCTATTAAAACATATCATATAGTTATTAAACTCAATCTAACTCAAAAAATAACCTGATAATCCACTGATTTTAAACTTGAAACAGGCCTAGGTTTTTATTTTTATTCAGAAAAATATTATTCTAGTTTTTTCAAAGTTTTCTAGTCAAACAAGTATGAAAGAAATATTATTGATAAGACTTTAATAGTACGTGGAGACGGAATATGATAATGTGAAATGAAGAGAGAATTTTTAAAACTTAAGCTAGTTAGTGTCGACTTATTCCAGATTGTTATGGCTGATTTTTCGAACCCAACGTGTGAATGTCCACAGGTCAAGTATTCTGGCTATAATTTTTATTGGCGGTATATTTATTTTTGTATTTTAAAAATATTTTTTTTAAAATTAATTTTTTTATTAATTTCAAATTAACATGTTTTTAATATTTTTACATTATTTTAATATATTAATATTAAAAATAAATTTTAAAAAATAAAAAAATAATTAATATATATTTTAACATGAAAAATTATTTGAAAAACAATTACAAACACACTTCCAAACAAACTATCTACATAGAGATTCCTTTATCTTACATTATAGTTTTTAAAGTGTTTACAAACACGGGTGAAACCATGTTTGTTAAAAAATTATTTTTTTATATTTTAAATTATTTTGGTGTACTTTGAGAGATTCCTTTATCTTATATTATATTTTTTAAAGTTTTTGTTTACAAATGGAGTGGAACAGTGTTTTTAAAAAATTTTTTTTTTTATTTTTAATCATTTTGGTGTAATGATTTTAAAAATAATTTTTTTAAAAAATAAAAATATATTATTTTAATATACTTTAACATTAAAAATATTTTAAAAAATAACTATAACTATATTTTTAAATAACCCTAATTTAGTGACACGATATTTCTTTTACAGGAATTTGATTCCTAGCAGGAATATTCTACATTATTTTTATAAAAAGAGTGAAGAATACATAGACTAACGTCCTTGTTGTTATTCTTATTATTATTCAAGGAAGGAAAGAAGTTCATCATATTTTTTCTATCAAAAAGAGGCTACACATCGCTTTGAATTAAAACTATGGAGTCATGAAATTCACAATTTAAAAAAAAAATTATTTAAACATATCATAGGAGGAACTATTTTACAGCTAAAACATTCTCTTTGAATGTATCAAAGGTGAATGTCTTGTCTGTTCTTTTTATGCCAAGCGTGTAGCTTTTTTATTCTTCTTCTTTGTCTATAACGGTAATATTCGAATTATTTATTAGCCAATTTATTTAATTCTCATTTAATAAAATCTTAATATCTTCTAGAAAAACTAAACATGCACACGACGTCCATCATGCTACGTACGTGGATAATAATAAAAATATTTATTATCAAAAAGAAAAAAACGTAAAAAAATATTTAACTAAATTCCTTGAATCTCACTACAAAAAATACAGCCTCACAGGCCTCTCCTGGATAAACACGACAGAACATCGATTGTTCCAAGCTAGACTTCTTGGTCTCTCCGTGTGCTCTGCCCAGAATCCCACAGCACGCAGATGGCTCTTTGGCCTATGTGACTTCAGTTCTTCTTCTTCCTTGGGTGTTGCCAGGAAACCTCGTTTAGTCGACAACCTTCGAGTTCATAAAGAAATCTTGGTGATTTGTAGATTGATTGATTGATGGTGACCTCGTGAATACTGAAAGCCATTGACCAGTTCAAAGGAGGCGGCAGGAGCTGTAAATATTTCTTCTGTACTTAGGTTTTCACCTTATGTTTTGCATCTTTAAGACACAGTGTGTTACACAGGTCTCCCTATGTTATTATCATATTTTTTTTACCTGATACAACTAGAATCTGATTGATATAAGATTAGAATCGGGTTAAATTAAAAAAAATATTAATATAACCTTGTAAGTTATTGAATTTTATAAAATCCGGTCAGAAATCTAATTATAATTTATTAATTTATTTTATTAAAATAATATTATTTTGATTTAAAAAATTTAATCCAAGCAACTCAGTGATCATTATAAAATCTAGAATCCGAGTTTTAGACTTAACTAGGTCAAAAAATTATGGTTATTATATTTTTTCAACGGTATTCCTGATTTGAAAAGGAATTACATTAATATTATTTTTTGTATTTTATTATCTATTGATATTAATAAAAATTAAAAAATATTTGAATTTATTTTTATGTAAGAATTTATTTAAAAAATATTAGATTACAATCTCAACTATTTTAATAATTTTTTTTAAAAAAATTGTTTTGATTATTACCTTCTTCATGCTCCCAAACACCCACCCTCTAAGTGTAATTGATTGTTGATGCACTATCCAGCAAATTACCCACAACAACGGCAATAATAATCAAGGTTGATTCTTTCACCTTGCCCTTTAATTATTTACCTGAATTTGGTCTACTTTCTTAGCTTTTTTTTTGTTTTTTTTCTTTAAAGCTATCATAACCCTGGTCTATTAAGATGAGCTCAGGGTTCTGCTGAGTGGTTCTTGGAATTATCCATTTAACTTTTCTAATTAGCAAGGTGCTTTTGATATTTGACTTTTTTTTTATGGAACTGTATATAGATATTCTTGATTATAGATATTTCATACACGATAAGTTTGAGTTGATCTAGTGGATATTTTTTAAAATAATTTTTTATATATATTTTTTTTTTTTTAAATTTATTTTTAATATTAGTATAGTAAATTTATTTAAAATCATAAAACATTCAAAAATATTTTTTAAAAGTAAAAACAAACACAAATTAAAAGTTTTTTTTTCTAGTTTTCATGGGCTTGGTTGTTGAAGGACATATTAGGCTTTAATGAACATGGGCTGGTCCTGGTAAAAGAGTTTGGGCCAGTCCACTAAAAATTCTCAAGCAAAGAACTAATATTTCTCTGCAAATAGCAATAACCATCATGGAGATTCCTTCTCTTGGACACGATCTCTTGTTCAATGGCCGGACCGTAATAAATCAAACTATTAAAGTGTGTAAAAAATATACAAACAAATAAAATCGTAATAAATATTCCACGTGGCATGTCCGTACTCTCAAACTGCTGGTGTCTTTTTCAAAACTAACAGTACGGTTTATTTCTGTTACTATGATGGTGGACTGGTGGCTCCGTCCTTTCAGTGGGTCCACCATCTCATTAGGACGCGTTTTACATTAAATTTTTTTAAAAATTAAAAATTAAAATTTTTTATTTTAAAATACTAATATTTAAAATAATTTTTTTAAAATAAAAAATATTATTTTAATATATTTTAAAAATAATAAACACTTTAAAAAATAATTACTATTACAAATACTAACATGCTTGAAATTTTAGCTATCCCTATGTTAATCTTAGGTTAGTTTTATCTTTTATATTATTGTTTTAGTTGAATGGATAAAATATTATTTTAATAGTTTTGTTTATTTTAGTTAGGTTTTTAATTTTTTGGTTAATAGGTAGACAATTTTTTTTTTATGTTTTAATAAAATTCATTAGCAAGATAAATATAAAATGTTTTATAAGAGCTTTTTTTATTTTAAAATACATTAAAATAATTTTTTTATTTTTAATATTAATATATTAAAACCATTAAAGAAATACAAAAATAATTAATTTAATAGTTTTTAAAAGATATCTGAATGTAGATTCAAATCGAAACGACAAACAAGCTGTACGATTATGCACTACAATATTATTATTGTTTTTATGTTGAAAAGTTTTTGAATATGATATAGAATTAGAAAAGTAGGATAGTGGCTTGATGCTATCCAAAGTCGTTGCTTTACTTCAAGCAAACACTCAATCATGGGTTTTACAAAAATAATATAATTTAGTATTAAAAATAAATAAATAAAAATAATATAATTTAGTATTAACACTTGCCCTTTGAGACCTCTTTTGCTGCCATGAGTTGTCTTCTCGGCTAAGAAAACACTCATCATGGGTTTGCTTAAAATATGTATAAACACCCCCCCACCCCAACTGCCCGCGGGGAGGAGGGGGTGTTTTATTTGTAAATATATTAATATGATATATTTTTTATTTTTTTAATAATAACATATTAAAAAAATTCCAAGAATTAACTACGCAGCGGTCCAACCACTACACTAAACAAGATCTAAATTTATTTTTTTAATAATAATATATTAAAAAAATTTAAAAAAATATTAAAAAATTAATTTAAAAAAAATTCCATGAATTAACTACACAGTGGTCCAACCACTACGCTAAAAAAAATCTAAATGTTGTTGAATCTGAAGTCAAGCAAGCATTGATATAGCAAAGTTTCCGAAGACGTAAATGAATTAGACACACCAAAGAGCATCAAAACAAATGAAGGTGGTGTAATTTGACTGGTATAGTTTAATTAATTAGGTTTTGAAATTATATTTTAGAGATTAATTATTTAAATTTTATAAATTTTAGGATTACTGAAAAATTTATATAATTATTTATTTTAAAATTTATAAAATTAGTTGATATATATACAAGTTAATTTGGACACATATGTTAATATAAAAATTAAAAATGATGTTGGAAAATATAGTAATAGTTGTTTTTTGAAATATTTTTTATTTAAAAATATATTAAAATAATATTTTTATATAAATACATTAAAATTATAAAAAAACATACAAAAATTAATTTTAAATAAATAAATAAAATTTTAACTCATCAGTGTCTGGAACGCAATTCCACACGGGTGAAAAATGTCAAACACATATACTATATAAAGAAAAAACAGCAACTGGCCAGCTATACTTTTTTGGTGCATAAAACAGGCTTGCAAGTAGCCAGCTACCCTGATATAAAAAATATTTTGGATGGCTGGAAGTAACATGCATTCACATGCCGGGAATTTACATGCCTTACACCACATGTGGAGCCCACAATTTCTTTCTTTTTTAAAAAATTTTTTTTTATTACACAAAATGAAAGTGGTGAGTTACTATGATTTAAGAATTGGAGTTTCGAATAAACAACTTGAAGTAAATTAAATGGGGAAGCAATTATATCCAATAAAAATAATCATACTAGATCTCAAGTATCCATGTAAATCCTAATTTAATAGGTTAATTTGATGATACATTGATTGTTTTAAAGCAGATTTGTGTTTTTTTTTTATTTGTTTAGAAAATTGATGTGATAAAATTACAATAAACTCATGGGTTAATTTAGCGCTATTCTAGTGTAACGTAGTTGAGTTGACTTAAACGATTATTTTTATAATTTTTACTTAAAATAATATTTTTTTAATATAAAAATATATTATTTTATAATAAATTAATCTGCAATGACTTGAGCTTTTACTAACTTGTTTGGGATTAGTTTTTGTATAAAAATATTTTTTTTTTATTTTTTAAAAATTATTTTTAAAATAAAAATAATTTAATTATTTTTAAAATTTTATTTATTTTTAAATACCAATTCAATTGCGTTTAAAACCCATCCTAACTTAATCAAACTCTATGCTATGTTATTATAATTTTGATTTTATAGCATAGTATAATTATGATTGTTTTTAAAAATATTTTTTATTTATAAATATATTAAAATAATCTAAACATATCAAAAAATTATTAATTAAAATAAAATAATAATAAAATTTAAAATTTTTTAAAAACATTTTAAAATACAAAAACAAACCCAACCAAAATGTTCCCGAGTACTGAAAATTTAAGCCTCGAAACATACCCTCCCGAAAAATGTGCCCTTGTAGTGTAGGACTGTTTGGTATGTTTCAAACTGCGGGCCCTATGGGTACCCTGCATAGTACATTCAAGAAAAGGCTAACCCAAACTCTGTGTAAAATATACCTGCCTCAGGTCCGCCTGTCAGCAAATTGCCCTCCACTCTTGTGTTGTCTAGTCCCCATTTATTTATTTTTCATGGGAAATTATTGTAATTTACTAAGCAGTGCTACAAATGAAATAATAAATTATGTGTGAATCCTCTCTGAGACTCTGACTGTTTTTTTTTTTCTTTTATTAAATTCCTTTTTTAGGGTGATATCGTGTTCTTGGTTGTGATGATGTTGATGGGTTGTCTAGCTTCGGGTTCAAGGGAATTCAGGCCTTTTCATATTCCTGTTCATGCATGACCACCATCTTTTTTTATCTTCTTCTTGTTGGCTCTCTTTTGGGTTCTGGGGCTTCGAAGAAAATCCTGAATCTTTTTGTTCCTTCACGCCAATTTGGATTGAAAAGATTGTTGTACCTTTCTTGGAAGCACTTTGTTATCTCGGTACCAGAGATTCAGATTTCAAAGGTGAGGCGTCAAGCAGTATCTGTTTCTATTTGTCTCTTTCTTTCTTGTAGCTTGGCATTGTATTCATTGTTCTTTTGGATTATCTGTTGTTGCCATCCCCGCTATTGACTGAGTAAAGATATGGGCTTTATTGGTTTCTGATCTTTACAAGAGTGCCTGTTTGTCTTTTCAATGGTGTCACATGCTTCTTGCTGCTTTGCTTTGAAGCTGACATATGAGCTGGAATAGCCTGCCAGTCTTTATCAGTCACAGGTTCAATGCTATTCGGATGTGGTGCATATGCATTATGTAGAAAAATTCTGTATTGTAGTGTTTTAATTGATTCTGATGAATTTTTCCTTCTCTTGGTCTTGCAGGATTTTATGTTTAGTTGGAAGCTTCTGATTAAATGATTTCCAGAGATGGGATTAGAAAGCTGTGATTATTCAAGTTTAGAGTGATTAATGCTTTGGGGTATGTGCTAATCCGCTTGTAACTGAACCGGGTTGCTTGTGATTCTGTCAGCAAGAATGTTGATTATATGGGTGTTTGATTTTTAGGTGAGGTGAATCTTAAAATGGACTTGGCCTGTAATTGCAAGTATCAAATGTTCTTTGGGAGAAACTTGAATTCTATAACATGTAAAGGTCTTGCTTTGATTGTTATTGCTCTGTTTCTTAGAGTTGTGCTGCTTCCTTCATTCTCTGGTTATGGTGGGATAGATAAAAAAAATCTTGATTTGGTTCATAGCCGGTCGTTGTCCTTGGATTCTGATAATGGAATTCGCAAAGATAAATTCTTGGAAGTTCCTCAGATAGTATGGGGACTAAACAATCAAAAGATAGCATTTGCAAGAGCTTGTCTAACTGCTAGAATGCTGAACC